CTTTTTTGACTTTCTCAAGTGGGCTTATTACATTTGCATATCAAACAGAACAGATGTCAGTTAAAAATTGTAATATATTTGAAAAGCTGAAGATAAACTGCTAGATTTAATTGGAAAATCCTTTCTGTATTTTATGGATTTTCTGATAATCTTATAGTCGCTTCTGATGAATTACGATTTACTTTATCTTTGCCAGCGGTCATATTTATGACTTTTKTAATTATATATCGGCATCTTTATTGCATTATCAAATTACAATATTTCTAGAAATAAATAAATGTCCAAAGTTTTATTAAAAATCTTTTTGCTGATTTGGCTGAGTCAAAGCATTTCTATAAATGAAAATCTGTATTTACATCAAAATCAGCTAGGGTAAACAATGTACAATGGAAGAAATGAGAGATYTTTGACACGAGAAGATAAAATTCGTATCTCCAAGCGTCCATGTAATATTCTGCAGTTATCAAATTATGTCGTAAAATATCTTTTTTCTTACTTCCACTACATAGATAAACCTCGAATGTAGTGTTATTTTCACATGTCGTTTTCACTATAGTGAAAATATCAACTTTATGAAATGGAGAAATATAGGTATTTTTTATAGATAATTATATGATAAAATCTAATAATTTCACGTATCAAAAATGTTGAATGGGATTTCCGAAGATTTATGAATAAAGATTACATAAAACGATACWCAAATCCTAAATATCGAGGAAAAAAGAACTTTTGATATGAAGTGTTTTGGTCAAATTATTTTGGACTGCCATTTTAAAGTTTGATATGCCGATATGAAAGATGAGTCTACTATGTTTTTAATTATTTCATCTGAATTGCAAATTTTTCTTTGTTTATTTTGCTATCATGGAAGAATGTTTTCCAATTCCTAGAGATTTTGGAGTAAGCCCAGAAACATGATAAACCAGTTTTTGATCTGACAGGCTCGCGCGTGTTTATAAGTAGAAAACTACTGTATTGAACGTTTATAATTATAAGGTAGTTACTTTGTACAAGTCTTTATTTCTTGACTAAACGGATTTACTTTAACAAAGGAGCAAGCGGAACTGAACTTCCCGTCCATAGTTTACAGTGCGGACGTCCCCTCAGATTGATTTGTCAAAGACGATTTCTGCTACTTTAAAAAGCAGAAAGCGAAACTTCTGTGAATCCCCTTATTCTCGTATTGTACTTTAAATAACTATAATAATAGAAAAGACCTTTTTCAAGAAATTCGCAGAAAATTTCATTGATAAAGTATTTGTTGAAAATGGTGTATAAGAATCGTCCGTTTGTTGTTGCGCAATGAATAGTCGGAAGAAGTAGCCTTATTTTCATTTTGATGCTTGCCTTTAGTTTTTYATTCTCAGTATGGATTCTAATCTTTTTGGAGAACTTTCTGAAGTAAAACGGTATTTTCAACGTATATAGGCCTATTTATGAATTTTAGTTGATTGAGTTGTCGAGTGTTGTCGATCCATCCGAAGCATAACCAGTGATAAACTTTGCACATCTACATGCTATAATTGTCTTTAAATAGTTCCTGAACTGTATACTGTAGAAACAATATACAAACGGATTTGCAGCTGAGGAAGCTATGGTTAAAAGCTGAGACATTTTCCATGGCTCTAAGTCATTGTACCAATCGAAATAACGAAGAGTACGAAAAACAACAAAAGGCGACCAAAGTATGAAGAACATAAGTGTTACCATCCCCAACATCCGGCTTGCTTTTTTCCGACGTTTTCTGATGGTTCGTTCCATTTGCTCACTAGGRACAACYTGGGACTTGAGAACTTGATGTATTCGGACGTGTGTGAATATCATATATRCAAGTGGGACAAGAAAAAGTGGGACAGCTGTGATGGTATAATACACTCGTCTTGCAATATATCCCCACGATAAATTGTGACACTTAAAAACKTTCTCTCTCTCGTCAAAGTACGTGGAATAGGCGTAAATCAACGGCGAACAAACGGCAAACGAGGCCAWCCAAACAGTTATTACTATAAGTTTACGTTCTTTGCTCTTTTGTAATTGTTGGTTTATTGCTACGCGAGTTACAGTAGTTAACCGTTCACGACTTATCGCCAACAGAGTTAAAATGGACGCAGTGTAACAAGTCTCAACAAGAAAACCTTGAATTCTGCAAGTAAAGCTTCCAGTTCTCCACTCATTACTGATGGCATACAGGGCATCAAATACTGTCAAAAATGTAAAAAGTAAGTCTGAAATCGCCAAGTTTGCTATGTACAAATTAAAAAAGTGTTCTCGAGCTGTCTCTTCGTTGCGTTGCTTTTTAAGGCTTCTGAAACAAACCAGCAACACTAACGAATTTCCGACCATGGACGTTAGAAAAACAGCGATGTAAAAAAGCATAAAAAGCACTCCYGAAACAGAATTTAGRCTCAATCTTTCACCAGTAGGCGGTTCAATAGAGGAATTTGCGGTAATATTGTTATAATAGCGAAGCATTTCACCTCTAAGTTGACACCAGCAAAGAAACCCTGAAGGCTGTTGTTTCCTTGTTTTTGTAAAATACAGTTTGCTTTCAATTTCAAGCTTGTCCGAAATTGAAATTTTCTATTGATTGACGTGTTGATAAACGCCTCAACAGGAAGACAGGCCCACCTGCCGGGTCTTTCCCTCTTACAATTGGCCCTACTCGTTAGCAAATAGCTTTGAATTTGCCTTTTCCCAATAAAATGACGTCTTGGAAAGCCGAGGTTTTTGAAGGCTTATTATTGGAAGCGCACTAAAACAAACATGCAAAATTGTTCAGCTGTTTGAGTCTCGTGGATTACTTCCTTTGACAAAGACAATATAAAATAGGTTTTCAGCTCTTTGATAATTTAAGGACTATATTTTGACATTCAAATAAGCAAGGTGGTTAGTTTTCACAGTAAAAAGTGTGAAAGTCAAGCTGCTTTTCATCAACAAACCCAGAAATTAATCTTGATTGAATCAATATTATCATGGCGGTTTGTATGTTGGGATGYTTTTGTGCATAAAAAACGTAAAATATAATATAATTTTGATTTTTTTTTTTAATGTATCATGTGTTTAATTATCTATGGCGGCATACAATCACATAGTCTTGAAAGCTTTTATTATGTAAACAATAATGATTTAAGTCAAAGGAAACGTGATAATTGTGGGTTGTCGTCTTGTTACAAAAAGATGAGTACATCAATGCTATAGTTATAATTGTACAACATGTTTTAAAAGGTTGACGCTGCAACTGATCTCTGATTTCAACCGGTCAATCTTATC